TGTCGTCTTTTACATATTGACATCTGTTTCCCTATTTTCAGTGTTTTAGCTTTGATTTATTTTCGTGACTTCCCTATCTGAGTTGATATCTGGTTGCTTTGCCCAGTGTTCTAGTCTTGGGTTGTTATCTGATGTTATTGCTTTTCTAACTACAAGACTCCCTTTAGTATTAATTGTAATTTTGGTTTGGTTTTTGCAAATTTCCTAAATTTCTGTTTATCTGGAAATGCCCTGATTTCACCATCATATTTGAGAGACAGTTTTACTGGATATATAATTCTTAGCTGGCAGTTTTTTTTCCTTCAAGGCTTTATATATGTTATCCCGTAGCGTTCTTGCTTACATGGTTTCTGCTGAGTAGTCTGAGCTTATTCTTATTGACTGTCTTTGTAGATGACTTTTCGTTTATCCCTAGCCACTCTTAAAATTCTCTCTTTATCTTTGGTTTTGGCAAGTTTGATTATAATATGTCTTAGGGACTTTCTTTTAGGATCTACCTTATGTGGGATTTGATGAGAATCTTGGATAGATATCTTCTCATCTTTCATGATATCAGGGAAGTTTTCTGCCAACAAATCTTCAGCAGTTCTCTCTGTATTTTCTGTTAATCCTCCCCTGTTCTGGTACTCCAGTCACTTGTAGGTTATTCCTCTTGATAGAGTCCCACATAATTCTTAGAGTTTTGTCATTTTTTAAATTCTTTTATCTGATTTTACCTTAAATAAGTTGGTGTCAAGTGCTTTATCTTCAGTCTTGCTAATTCTGACTTCCATTGCCTCAGTTCTGCTCCTATAACTTTTTTTTTAATTTTTTTTTTTATTGTACTTTAGGTGCAGGTTTACAGAACAAATAGTTTCTCATTACACAGTCAGTATGCATATTGTTTTATGACATTGGTTAACAACCCCACAACATGTCAACACTCTCCCTCCTCGACCTTGGAGGACCTTTTTTCTTTCTTGGTGAAAATATACATAGCCAAAGATACACCATTTCAAAAATTTCTATATGTACAATTCAGTGATATCGATTACATTCTTTCAGTTGTGCTGCTATTCTCACTATCCTTTTCCAAGTTATTCCATCACGTCACTGCCCCCTGGGCTTCCCATCAAACCTTTTGAATTGCTGTTGTCAGTTAGATCTCACGTAGATAATTCTTTTTTTTGTTTGTATTTTAGATGAAGGTTTATGGAACAGAATAGTTTCTCCTTAAACAGTTAGTGCACATATTGCCCTATGACAATGGTTAACAACCCTATGACATGTCTACACTGTCCTTTCTCAACCTTGGGTTCCTATGACTTTCTACTGAGTTGTCTAATTCTGAAATTTTATTGTTAATCTCCTGGAGTTCTGATTGCTGTCTCTCTATGGATTCTTGCAGCCTCTTAAATTAGTCATTATGCTCTTGTCTAATCTTCTTAAGTTCCTCTATTAGGTGGTCTGCATTTTTCGTAATTTCCCTCCAGATCTCTTGAAGAGTTCTGTATATTAATCTTTTGTATTCTGCCTCTGGTAATTCCAAGAAATTCTCTTCCTCCAAAAAACTTCTTGATTCTTTATTTTGGGAGCTTGCTGAAGCCATCATGGTCTGCCTCTTTTTGGGATTTGATATTGACTCTTGTCTCCAAGCCATCAATAAGTTATTGTATTTATTTATTTTATGCTTGCTTACTGTATCTTAGCTTCTTGTTTTGTTTTGTTTTGATATGCCCAAATAGGCTGCTCATGTGAGCTAGCCTGACCACCTGCACCCCTGAAGCTCCAACGTCCTGTCACCAGGTGGCCAGACCTGCGTGAGCCCAGGAGTCCACCCACTCCTCCTGTATGGATTCAGCTCAGATGTCCAGGTAGTCGGCCACTAAGTGTGTGGTGCAGACTCTCACGTACACTCCTAGACAGGCATGGGTGATTGGTATAGGCACAGGCATCCAGGCTGCAGCAGGGGGGCACGTGCTGAGCAAGGCTGGGGGCTGACGGCCACCCCCAAGTGTCCAGGAAGAAAGCATGCCCCTGTTCTCTAGAATGCATAGGTGGATGGGTTTTGCAGCCAGACTATGAGCACCTGTTGCTGTTGGCTGTAAGGACTGGGGGGTACCTCTTATTCTTGGGCCCCTGTCGCAGGTGGCTAGTGGCGTGGTGGAGCCACCAGTCCTCAGGCCCCTGATGTGTGTAGGTGAAGACCCTGCTTAATGGGCAGAGCCGTGTCAGATGTAATGAACCTGCCACTTCACAGCTGAAACAGTTGAAGTCAGACTTCAGGTATATACCCTGTTGTACTGTGGTAATGAGGGCCTACGCTGTTGAAATGGGCAGACACAAATCCATGCAGGAGGAAAGACACTCAAAGTCTGTGGACCCCTTATGCCTTTGCCTAGGCAAAGGAGCTGTGCCTACCCTGAGTTCCTGGCTTAGGGGAGCTGGCAGATTATTTTTTCACCAGTTTGTTAATTTGTTCCCTCTCCAAGGCCGGGAGAATAGCTCAGGGCCTGTGACAGGTCCTACTTCCATCCCAGGGGACTCGGCAGTCACTGAAGCCGTCCTGGACCCAGTGCAGAGCAGGGAGTGGGGAGGTAAATGGGAGAGAGGTTTTTCCCAAAGAGGGGTGGTTTTGATCCGCGCAGTAGGCCAGACGCAAGTACTTAATCTTGCACCAGTTGAGGGCTGCTTCCCACTGGTTCTGGATGGCCGAGTAGACTCTCTGCCAGTGGGTCTCTCCTGATGTGGAAAACGCCTCCCAAGCGCTGCTGCTTGCCTCACCACGCACCATGAGCTGATTCAGCCTAAAGGGCTCTGGCTACCACTGGGTCAGGTCTGGCAACTCCTCGCTGCTTCCGCACCATCTCTCCCTCCCACTGCCACTCAGTCCAGTTCCTCAACTTTGCCTTTGATGTTCAGGGCTCCTAGATTGTCATATATAATCGATTCACTTGTTTTTTCGGGTCTTTGTTGTAAGAAGGACCACTGGAAGCAACTGACTACTCAGCCATCTTGACCCTGCCTCCCAGCCTGTGTTTCTTTCAGGCAAATCCTAGTTCCCCTTACAGCATATCCAATCAAGTATTGGCTGAAGGTGGAGGTAACATGCTTTCTGTAATCTGTAATACTCAATTTTCATTTCCATCATACATTTAGATTTGTTTTAGGATTCGAACTTCCCACCTTTTTAGTTAGCAGCTGAGCTTTCAACCATTGCGCTACCAGGGCTCCTTTTTACAACACTAGGTAGGAGAGACGTTCACTATCCAGAGTACGTTCGCATAAATACATAAGCCCTTTTTAAACATTCCAAGTTTCATCTTCTCTTCTCCACACCTTAACTATCTTCCCATTCATATGCATATGGCCTTGGGCCTCTGGCTGGATGGAACCAGAAGACCCTGGCCCCCTATCAATCATCCCATTTAACCCTTGCCCTGAGCCACTCCAGATGTGACTTTCCTCCCCTCAGCAGCAGAATAACATTTCTTACTTCCCTTTCAGTCATTACAGGTAACAACAAAGTAACTAAGAATCAAAAGTTTCAGTTCCTACACCCCTTCATTCTTTCTTTTACAAAGTTCCATGCTTCCATGAGTCTGTAGCTATTGCAGTGAATCCTGCTTCTGATGCCAACTGTAAAAATGGTGTGGAGGAGGCATCTGACTTCCTCTAACTTCACAAGGGAAAGGAGACAGAATCATTACTAGCATCAACAGCCCAAAGCTGATTCCTGTGAGGCAGAGGTCAGTCATACAGACATACCTCCACCCTCCAACCTTTTTACCAGTTCTGACACCAGCCATCCCTACCACAGCACTGTCTGCTTCTCTCCTGGGTTCAATAATTCATTGCAATGGCCACCCAGAACTCACAGACCATAGTTACAGATAGGAGATTCATTAAGGAAGTAACAGGGTACAACTTGGGACCAGAAACAACTCATGATACAGTTCTTTGATCAGGACAGCTTCTCAGCCATGCCTGCAGGCAGGCCTTGCATCTGCCCTGCTCCGGCAAGTGTTACAAAGCTCCTAGCTCTGTGAGTCGGCAAGCCCCACTGCAGCTGTCTTGCGCTGGTCTCTTGGTTCCTGCCATCTTAGGCCACTGTCACTCTTGCTACTGCTACGTGGCCATCTCTCACACTCTTCTGTGTTATAGCTCCTCTCTCTCTCTCTCTCCGTGTCTCCCGTTAAGCCTAGCAGAATGGCAGAACTGACCAGTCCCCTCGTTAGGGTTCCATACACCTCATTTGTATGGTCCCACCCCCACGAGGGTACCATACACCTTATTTGCATTATTAGCAAGCTGTTGAATCCTCTTGGTGGGCCACAAGCACCTTATTTGCATAATCCCACCCAGTCACTTGTTGGGAATTACAAGACCATGGCAAGAAAGGCTGTATAAATGCGATCCATCACACCGCAAAAGATAAAACATCAGCCAGATCTCTCATTTGTCTAGAGTAGGTGGAATGAGTTCTGATTCACAGGGTGGTCCCAGAATGGACTTTTAGGGTGTTTGGGGCCAGGTTGATTGAGCACGTGGCTCCAACTTAGTGTTGATCAGAAACAGCCCAGCTTGGACCATGGCTTTAACATCTGCAGATCTTAGAAGAATTTTAAGAAGCTTAGTTAGTTTTTCATCTTTATTGAGAATAGAGAACAAGTGAAAATGGGCTAAATATATGAAAGGAGAAACTGGTTTAAGATGAGGAAAAGCTTTTAGACTAAGACAGGCTAATGAGAAATATTATAGACTTTCTGTTTTAGTCAGCCATCATTTGCCTAAGGAGCCAATAGATATTGTCCTACCTGGAGGCAGAAGTTGGATGAAATGGTTTCTAAGGGATTTATCCTGGTTTTGTGGGAACAGGAAGAACAAATACAATAGGGGAACTTATTTAAAAAAACCATGCTCTAAATATTTTATAAATTACAATACTGTTTTGTTTTCTGCCTCTTTTGATTGGGAGTTGTTTCATGGAAGGAAGCTACTAACTATCCCACCCTATGCAGAAACCCCAGAATCCAACAATAGCGTGTATACTTCCTTCATGAAGTCTCATCGCTGCTATGACCTGATTCCCACAAGCTCCAAATTGGTTGTATTTGATACTTCCCTGCAGGTGGGTGAACTCCTCTTTTCCCTTACCCCTTCTTTGGACTCTCTGGTATAATACCGCTTATCCTGTCTCATCCCATGAGTAATATTCTTATCCTTTTATGGGGTTAGTCTCATATTTTCCCCAACATACCCAACCCCTATTCTTTTAAAGTCCTGCCCTCTGTGAATTTCCGTTTGTGATTATTATTATTTTGGCTACAGGTGAAGAAAGCTTTCTTTGCCTTGGTGACTAATGGTGTACGAGCTGCCCCTTTGTGGGACAGTAAGAAGCAAAGTTTTGTGGGTAAGAAAAAGTTTCTGGAATACAATATTCTTGGCATCTTGTGCTGGGCAGGGAGAGAAGCTTTGGGCAGTGTTGAGGGCTCTTGTCTTGGCCTCTAGGCATGCTGACCATCACTGATTTCATCAATATCCTGCACCGCTACTATAAATCAGCCTTGGTAAGGAACCCTAACCCAGTGACCAAAACCACTTTCCCTGCCCAAAGTCCCTCATTCTCATTTCCTTTCCTCCAAGCAAGCCACAAGAAGTTAATGCAGCAGGGAGATGAGGCCTCAAATTCTGTTGCTTCTGCTTCTAGGTGCAGATCTATGAGCTAGAAGAACACAAGATAGAAACTTGGAGAGGTATGTAGAGGATTAGAGGTTGTAAAAGGATGGAGGGATGGAGGGTGCATGGGAAACGGTTTTCCATGGTGGTATTTTGTGTGTGAAAATCTTGTTTTTTTCCCCTCAGAGGTGTACCTACAGGACTCCTTTAAACCACTTGTCTGCATTTCTCCTAATGCCAGGTAAGTTCCAGCTACCCATTTGTCCAGAAGGTGAACAGCCATGCCATCAGCACAGCTAAAGCCCTAGACACCCAAAAATCCAGGGAAAGGGGCTAAAGAGAGAAAAGGTACACACACACACACACACACACACACACA